CTAAATAGAGAGTATTCTGTCAAAATGAGTTAAAATGGCATCGTATTGCAACACAATGTGTTAACATCGGGGTCGTGGTATCTGCAAAGGATGCCAGAGCCAGGGAGAATGAACTTTATGTGTCTAACTTGAAATGTCAAAGGTGAAGTTGGTGTACTGTCAGTTAGCAAAAATCACCCCTTTGTTCTAAATGGAGGCACTTCATCAAGTTAGTAAAGGGCAAACATTGAGGCTGGTGATACATTTTGATAGAATATGCCTTTTTTTTTTTTTTTTGCTTAAGACATAAATATAGGTTTTTAGCATATGCTTTGACACTAAGTCTTTTTGAACTTTAGAACTCTGAACTAAAACCAGATGCTGTTTGTTTGCAAATGTCTTTTTTTCTTTTCATTATGAACTAAGAAAAAGATGAGATCAAAGAAAAAACCAAACCTTACTGTGTGATGATACTCCATGTCTAGCCAACTAAACTTCTTCTCCCAATATAGACATTTTGCTCTTGCACAGCAAGTGTGAGAACTACCAGTCCTCAAAAAAACCAAACCAACCAAAAAAAAAAAAACAACCCCAAAACTGGCTTGCTTTTATAACTTGAGTTCCCCTAGTTACTGTGAACAAATGGATGCAGTCTAGTGAAGTCATAATGGTGCAGGCTGTGGATTTCTTAACAAGGTACTGCTCATCTTTTGCATCCTATGAACATGAGAATTTCCAATTTGGATAATGTTGCAGAGACTTTCCGCTGCACTTACTGCAACACTGAAGTAGAGGAAGATGCCTCAGCACTTCCAAAGCGCGATGCTCGAACCTTGCTAGCAAAATTCAATGAGCAGATTGAACCTATCTTTGTGCTACTGCGTGAGACTGAAGATGTTGTTCTCCCATATGACTTGCTGGAGCCTCAGCCAACAGAAATACCAGAATTATCAGAAAGGTATAAACATAACCCTAGAACTTCTGATCAATACAAAACTCCCCAACAACTTCCCTGTTGTAAAATGTTTGAAATGCTGAACTTGCAGCCTACTTTTCTACTCCATTCCGCTTTGTTCAGTAGTCAGCTGCTTAATGAAGAAGCCTGTCATATCTAAGCCATTCTATATTATTGTTATGCATTTATAGTTTTATTTTTGCTACATTTTTTAGGTAATTAATTTTCCAGACTTCTTCAGCAAATGCTCATAGCACTTTCTGTGAGAAAGTAACGTTTCTCTGTCAGTGTGCTTCATCCAGAGATGCACGACTCAACAGACCATGCAAAAATCAGTGGTTCAGAATCATTTGCCTCTGAGATGAGGTAACAGGGAATGCAAATTGTTTTCATGTAGAGCACTTGTTAAAGCCAGTCTGCTGACAAAATATGACTTTTTTTTTTTTTTTAAATGGGAACTGAGGGATTCTTGTCTGAATATGACCTGTCCAAAATTGGTGGCATTTCAGCTTTGATCAGAAGGTGGGTTCAAGGGTGCTGGAATCCTGTAGCCGACCTGAAAAATGGGCCAACAGAAGCTCCTCTTGCGGCAATATGTACACCCAAAACTTAGTTATTGATGTCCAAGACTCTGAGCCCAAGAAGAACACAAAAGAAAAAGCAACTAAAGAGCAACCTATCTGGATGTCACAGAGCACCGTGGAAGGACCAACAACAGCCACAAACGACAGCGTTGGTAAGTTTTAAACGCTGGCAAGTTTCATGCATTGGAAAATACTTTTAAGTTCAGCAGCCTTACTGTATTTAAATATAGCTTTCCTACGGAAAATGTAGCGAGTTTGGTTTAGAATATAGAGTAATGGCTCAATTCTGCACCAGTGGCTATCAGATCTTAGTTTCTAAAGACTAGTTTTTAGAAACTGACTTAGGTAGTATTCCTAAAGCCAGAGGGCAGGTACCAGGTCCTGAAATTTTTGCTCTGACACTACTGGTAATCTTTCCACTTTAAAGCTCTTGGAAATGCCTGCACTTTCAAGAGAATTCTGAAGTTGTGGGCAAAAAAGATCCAGAGTAGAAAAAATCATTTATGTAGGATGCCTGTGGTAACTGTAAGCTATTGATACTTCTAACACTTAGTATTATGTATTAGGAGTAAATGCTTCTGAAGAAACTGATGTAAGTGTTAAAGAAACTGTTGCTGATGACGAAATCATCAAGACTCTCCTCATCCATGAATCCAAGTCATCATCTAGCACAGACCAGGCTCCTGTTGTCAAAAGCAGACTACTGGAATCAGGCGGTGATACTAGTGAGTCTGAAGAAGATG